CAGAAATGTTCTATTGATACCTTGCTGTGACAACGTACTGGGGGTGTTTTACCTGTATGACTATGGTGGAATGTTCAGCAGTTAACATGGTGACACAATGCACACATTAGCAAACTCTCAAAAAAGTTTAAGGTAACACTTCAGATTAGGGACCACATATTAATAGTTAGTTAATAGTAAAATGCATAATACGTGCTTAATTATATCTTAGTTAGTATTTATAAAGTACTTTCAATGCATTTTTGTTTAAGGCCGCATTTTGTGAGTACTAACTCTTTAAATATTTTCTTCCCATTAAAGTAGTGGGGATTACAATAGATGTTTGTGCGTACACTGAAATTTTAATTAATACGTTTTTGATTAATACCAAATAAAGGCTAAGTAACAGCTAATTAGCAAACCAGTTACCACTTAGTTAGCTATTAATATGCGGCCCCTAAACTGAAGTGTTACCAAATTTAAGATCACAAAATGGATTTAACAACACATTTTCAGGAGCCTGTGGTCACTACGAGTGTTCATGATCCTATTTAGGTGTTTTTCAATTTAAAAAGGTGAAAGTGATGAACTGAAAAACTGTTGGCGAATGCTAGCTAGCCTGTGACTGTAATTTTATGTGCGAGGGACTTGTTTAACAGCACAAATCAGCTTACCTAATGTAGTTCCAGCTAAGTCAGTTCTTTATGGTCAGATTGTGTTCAAATAAAGCACAGATTAAAGTCTAATAAAGCCTCAGACAGAGCAGAGCCTACAGTTAACATCACACCTCCAGGGAACATTCATGACATCAGCTACTCAGTATCAATAGTGCGCCCTTAATAATAATAATAATGATTAAAAAAAGAAAAAGAAACAGCACATCTCAATCAAGTTGGAACACGGGAAAAACAAACAAAAAACTTGACTTATATTTGTGATCTAAAATTGGAGTTGGATTTGTGCTGGTGCTTTTGCTTCTCCTCAAAGGTTGGTCCCAGTCGTTACCACACAAACACTTGTGGTTCTGAAGAGGCCCCTGATTACGGTGGACTTGTTGAGCTGTGGTTATTTTGATTCTTTTGCCCACAGAGGAGCTCGTGGAGAGGGTCAAATCTTCTGCTCCAAGTAGCCTGTGATTTGGGGAGATTTGTGACTCTTCATCTTCAAGTCCCTGTATGTTACGTTATAGTACTATGTCACCATGTTATTAGTTACAGAAGCTGTAATAACATCTCAGGATAGTTTTAATTCAGTACTATCTTTTTTTTTTTTTTTTTTAATAATTTTTGCTCCTTTATTTACTAGGGATGTAACGATATCCTAGCCTGATTCATTAGCCAGTTTCACTTCGCAGAAACCGTCTGACCTCGAAGCATTCGAATTTGTTCGCTCAATGGTAGGCGGGTACTTTTTTTTTTAACCAGTTGCTACTATGTGATGTATGTAATGCTATACTAAGCTTTTCCCAGATCCCGTAGGAAGAAGGGCAATAACGTCTTTCACCAAACATTCTCTTTGTTCCGGCTTTAAATCCTCAATCTTGAGAATAGTTGCCAACACAGAATGTATGGCTCTTCACTGATTGGCCGCTGCCCGAACTCGCATTTCCAGGGTTTTTGCAAATTGTCTAGTGTGTTCTGTATTGTTGTGTATTCCTGACCTAGTCGCTGGAGAGACATGAAATTAAGCGGAGGGACTAGGTGGTGCCAACCTGGCTAATGATATCCAAATTTCTCGATAAAATTTCAAGGTATGATATTTATTGCAATATTTTGTAGAGGGAGGCTAACAAAACTGTGAATATTCTACTTTTTCCTTTAAAAATGCCTTGACAAGCCTTTGATTCAATTATAAACCAAAAAGTTAACATTTAAAGGTGCTTAATAATTAAATGTATATGTAGTTCCCTCTGTTTCTTTTAGCTGTTACAAAGAAACTTGAGATTCAGTATATTGTGATGGTCTATAATATTATTGAGGTAGCTTTTGGTAATACAATATCATGATGTTTCGATTATTGTTGCATCCCTATTATTTACTATAAACAAAGCATAAAACAAGAAGTCAAAATATAGACTAACATTTTCTAAAATTGCACCAGACAAGCTCCAGGCAATCATAACTCGTCTGAGCCATGCTTGGAATGTACAATATATGAGAATGTACACTGTGTATGTGAATGTGGGTCGGACAGACAGTCAATTTGTGCTGTCTTTGTCTGTACTGGTCTATACACTTGGAGTTATATAGGAACTATCCTCCATGTTTGGTCTGACGGACTTGTTCTGCTCCATTCATCTCACAGGCAGGCAGCACTGGTCTGCCGAGCTGCAAGGGCTTCTGGGAATGGTGTAACTTTGGCTTTGTGTGGGCTGATATGAATTCCATATATTCAATTTTGCAAGAAGTTGGAGAAAATTGTCACTAAAATTCATATTGCAAAAGGAAGTCATGTCATACAATACACTGACAATATTTATGGTACAAATGGTGCGTGTACTGTAGAAATATGCAACATTTACTCTGGTAATTGTCAATACTGTGGAGATTTCTATGTCGTTCAGTTTGTCAAATTAAAAGCAATAACAACAAATCAATAAATCAATATAAAAAAATTATATTATGCCATAAAATACAACATATTTATAGCATAACTGAATCCTTGGGCTGCTAAACTTAAATTGTTCCATAATATTATTCTGTATTGACGCTTGTACTGAGCTGTCTACTCGTATATTGACTCACTTGACTTTTCCAGCACTTGGCTTTAATTAAGAAATCGCAGCAGGAGCTACAACAAGGCTGCCATTTAATTATTTAGAGCTTGTAAAAACACTGCATCCTTATCCCCATGCTGCACTAACAAACTCTGTATCAACTGCTAACGACAATATTTATGTAGCATATTTTATATTTTAGGAGTGTATTTAGTTTCTGTGTTGGAACTTTTGCTTCTTCCCCGTGGTGAGAGTGTTTGTCTTGGCCACCACGGATCTCACCTTCCGGAAAATGCTTGACTTTTACAGCAGTTTTCCAGAGCATTTACCCAGCGTTCCCTCAGACATGAAAGAGTACCTGTCCCATCTGAGGACACAGTGTCCCACAGGACAGACACATGCAGCAGACAGGGGGATGTACGTGTAGAAGATTTGTTTTGTCTGAGAACAGCAAAAAACATATTTATTCAGGGACATTCTTATTTAGTTACTTAGTTGTCCTCTCCCATGGGACCAAAGGGTAGCTCTACTGCAAATATTTATTCTGTATTAATTTTTAAAAGTAATACGCAAAAGTGAAAACTGTGCGAAAGCTGTGAAAAATCGAGTTGTGCTTTTCTGGTGAAGGGTTCATCAAGTAATTTTCTCCAAGATGTTATTGCTTTCTTTCACAATATGGTATTAAACCTTTCTATCTTCACGGAGATCAAACCAGACCAAGTTACAGGTCGGATCTGTGGAGAGGCAGCCCCGCTCACTGTTTTTCAAGGCATTTTTGAGTTGTAACATCACCTGTAATTTAAGGTCTCCAGTTTTTCTAAGTATTTTTGAACTATAAAACCACCTGTGATTGAATAAACATAAAGTATTGCTTAAAGTTATACTGTGGAACATTCCAAGCAGAGCAATGTCATATCCATAGAAACAAGCAGGTGATGGTCTCTCTACCAAAAAGTTACATAGTGCCCATTTAATATTTTTGGTACAACATTTTCAGGTATTTATTGTTTTGTCTCAATCAGTGTTTACAGTAGAAGTATATATGAGCCTTCCAGTTTATTTCTCATGGGCTTTTTTTGTAAAGTACTCACTAGTGAATTACAACCTTAAATGTGCTATGTAAATTTTCTGGGGAGGCGTCTGCCAGCTTGTCTCCATGCAAATCTAATTTCCTGCTCTGGAATGTTTCAGTGCATGGCAGTAAACTTGTGCATCTCCATGTAAACAAGCACTGCCAACACACAAGTTACAGGTCGGATCAATGGAGAGGCAAGATTGCTCACACTAAAAAAAGGCATGTTCTTCAAGGTATTTTAAAATGCAAGTAATTGAAAAAATGCAAGCTAGATATGTTTAATGCCATACTGTGGGACATTCCAGTTGAAGCAGTAACATTTCTATTAAGGCATAGCCCCAACAGAAAAAGCTAGTGCTCCTTTAAACAAGTCTCTATGTCTCAGTGCAGGTTGCCTATAATATTTTATATAATATTTTAGTTGTGAATAATAGAGCCACACTGAAAAAAAAAATCTGGTGGTAGTAAAATTTATTAAATCAACTGGGGTAACTTTTACATTAAAATAACATAATTCTGTGAGAACTACAACTTATTTAATAGCAATGGACAAAATGTATTTTAATTTACAGTCACTACGCAAACCCAGAAATACTAAGTAATACCAGAGTCCTTCTAGATAAGTGCCAGCACTCGCCGGCTCCGGTAATAGAGTTTGTCCACTGAAGGTTGGCGGTTGGCTCTCGACATTAAAAAAGAAAAAACATAATTGGGAGAGCGGTCAAATCCATTGACCCACATGTTGGTTGGCGTAATTCCAGCTCACACAGATGAATGCAGTTGTTGTGTCCTTGGGCAAGACACTTAACCCACCTCGCCCCCAGTGTCTCTGTACACTGGTGTGTGAGTGTGTGAGTGAATGGGTGAGTGGTTCCTTGTTGTAAATCGATTTGTGTGCCTTGATGGAAAAGCACTGTATAAAAATGTACTGTTTATTATACATCAGTAAATATTAGACAAACAATATTTACTTAATTATTTCATCACAGCGATGCAATTAATTATGACAATATTTTATATAATTTACTTAATTAATTTAGATGAATATGACTTCTAACTAAAAAAAAAATGTAACAGTTGATACCTGATATTACAGCAGAAAAATTTACTTGAAAAGTATTAGTGCAAATTGTTATGAGGATTTTTTTCTAGTAAATCTTTCAACTTATTTTTTTCAGTGCATTTGAGTAATTGTATTTTCTTTCTTTTCTTCACTCTGTCGGCGCACAGATCGGGCTGCTGGTGGCCTGTTATCAGGGCTTTGTGGACGTGGTGATTGCTTTGTCCCAGTGTCCATATCTCGACCCAAACTGGCAGGACAGTGAAGGCAACACTGCTCTCATCACTGCAGCTCAGGCAGGTAAGATACACTCACTCACTCCCAAACACAGGAGACCTTAATAGAAACATATATTTTTTACAATAGAAAATATAACATCAAATGAATAAGGTAACATGCAAATTTATGTTAGTAAACCAGTAAATTTCTGTGTGTTTCAGGTCACATAACTATCACAAATTACCTACTGAATTACTACTGTGGTCTGGACATCGAGAGGAGGAACTGCCATGGCTTCACTGCGCTCATGAAAGCAGCTATGCAGGGCAGGGTGGACTGTGTGCGCGCTCTCATGTTGGCAGGTAAACAGACACTATAGAAACAAAACTAAAAGAAAAAAAGAAAACTCTGATTGTGTATTTTGGTCAGTTCTTACCAATTCTTACCGCACAGGAGCTTCAGTGGATGCTAAAGACTTTGGGCGAAACCTGACTGCGCGGGAGTGGGCTCTATTCACTGGTCGATATGAGACGGCCTGGGTGATGACACGGCTGATGGAGAGATCCTGTCCACTGCAGTTCAAAGACACGTACAGGTGAACTTTGAACTTTTTTCTTAGCAAACTCTCTGATACACCAGATTATTGCAGTTAGGTCTGGTACGGCTGTGATAGAAAGAGTTTTAGAAGTAAGTTTATACCTCAACTTAAAAAATATATACTTCTGTTGTTGTCCCTGTGTATTGATGGATTTTCTCCTGGGGCAGTTTCTATATTACAGCTTAAAATAGATTGTGACTGTTTGGCTAACAGGCTTTTAGACAAGATAGCAGGCTAATCTTACTGCCAGTAAAGAATAGCTTCCTTAGATATCAGTAATACTATTAATATATTGCTTTTGGACTCTCAAAGTCTCTTAACACTACTGTAGACACCTTTGCCCTGGGCCTGGAGAACAGATACAAACAAAGTAGGTGTAGTGTCTTGCCCAAAGATACAACAACAATATGCATTTGTCAGAGTCAGGATCAAATACCGACCAATCATTTGAGTCACCGTTGCCTTAATTCATGCGTCAAGGTTGAACAAGTAGCTTCTTGATTCAAACACGTGTCAATCGTATCACCATTATACTGTACCTTGTTGTCCAGTCTGGAGTGGCCCCCTCTGGCGCCCCTAGTGGCCAAAGCTCTTGAGCCGCGCGGCTGTCTGAAGAGGATCTCAGACACAGTGAGAAACGTGTTCAACATCGCCAACGTCACCAACCCTGACGACGAGGGCGTCATCGATCACATGGTGTCTGTGACCACTGCTATGAGGAGCCCCTTCATCGCCGTGGCCTGCCGTTCTGTACGTACATACACCAAATACAAGATTGTTTGTTTATGTTATCACTTTTTGTTTATCTTTATGATCTCACCGGTAATTATGGGCTTTTGTTGCTTACATTTGATTGCAGTAAATTGAGAATGTGTTCTGGGATTATAACATTATTAGGATCATTTTAGATTTACCCTATCTTCTATGTTTAATCAGCAAATTCGTTGACTGTCAGTAATTAAAAGATATCATTAATACCGGTATTATCTGTTAAGCAGGTTTGTCACACTAGATTACCAACGCTGCAAATTGCAAACAAAAGCAAATCTGTGCCATCCTCCTTTACTCTCAAAAACAGTGTTATTGCTGCTATTATGATGAAATATAAAGATATGAATAATTCTATGATTTCAAAACCCCAGGATTTAAGATTCAGAAAATTGCATTGCTCCCACAAAGATAATTTGTTAGAGCAGCAAAAAAGGACAGTGATGATGCAAACAAAAGCAACCATTTAACAATAAAGAAATCCTTAATGGTTAGGCAATAAATCGAAATAATTGCTATGGAAAAGACATCTGGCATTACCTCTAGTTGGTGTACATTATTTTACTATTGGAGTCAGAAGATTGGGTTTGTGCTTACTGGAAATAAAATTAAAATAAAACAAAACATTATAGGAGTATAGTAAGTAGAGTGTTTAGCCACAGTAGTAATTTCACATTTGGTTGCAGTTGTGATTAAAAGTAAGACTTTGGTTGCAAAGTAAAGGTGCACTATGTAGGTTTGTTGCCTGAGGATGCTATAGTTTTGCCTGGCATATTCCACAGTATAGCACTAAACTTAACTATCATGCATTTATTCTTTTATTAGTGATAAAAATGACCTTGAAAAACATGCATTCTTTCAGTGAGTTGTATCTCCTCTTCACATTTGACCTGTAACAGCCCGGAGATATCACCTGCTTGTCTCCATGGAGATAGATAAGTTAAATGCCATACTGCTACATTCCCAGAAAAGTATTAACATCTCCATGGAGACAAGCCCTTTTAAGACTTGAAGAAAGATGAGTTCTTGAATGCCACAAGTGCTTTTAAAAAGTAAATGTATATAAAGGTATTATATCACTCAAACTATTTACTGTTGTGAGATTTGAGATATATTCTAATGTTGGTGCTTCAGCATAAACACACCTGAAGGTTGTGCTTTGTTTCATTCACACGTTTGAGTAATCCTTTATTATTAGTTTGTCTACATCTCAAAAGCTCAAAACCAGTGGTGTAGTGGGGATTTTTTTAAGTGGGGGTATGCAAGTCGCGACGTCATCAATGCTATTAACATTAACACCATTTATAATCACCTACAGAACATAAATCATAGGCTACAACACATGAACTAGGACTTAACCAGGACTGAACCGGGAGGACTAAACCAGGATTGATCCAGCACTAAACCAGGACTAAAGCAGGACTACAACAGGACTAAACCAGGACTAAACTAGCTCTAAACTAGGACTAAACAAGCTCTAAACCAGGACTAATCTTGGACTTGAGAGTGAGAGAGAGAACCCCGAGCCCATGAAGCAGGGTGTGTGCAAAGTATGATCGGGCGATGGTTGCCCGTGGAATGCGAAGCTCTGCACCTCCAGGCCCATCTTGACACTCAGACGTGGTTCAGTTCTGGTTTAGACCTGGTTTAGACCTGGTTTAGTCCTGTTTTAATCCCATTTTAGTCCTGGTTCAGTCCTGGTCCCCTCATGTTGCAGGTCACTATAGGACAGTGCTGGAGATGTGCAGGTTGTTTTCACCATTGCCTATAGCTCTAGTTTGATATTTAAGTTGTAGGTTATTTTATATTTGTTATTTTTTTATATCTCACAACGGGAGAAGTGGGTGGACAGCGTACCCCATTGGCAATTCCAGGGCTGAACTGATCCAAATGAAGGTGCATGGAGTTTAAAAACACAGTGGATGCAGAGTTTGTGTATTAAACACGTGTGAAACAACATTATAACATCGATCAGAAAATAGCGTAACATGGGCCTTTTAAGTATTACATGACTTTTTATGCATACCTTTTTTCTCTTGATGTTCTAGGTGTGTCCGGACAGTCCACCCGCAGTAGGCAAGCGTCGCTATGCTGTTCCTGAGATCCTCCGTCAGCAGCGTGTCAAAGAGCTCCTGACTATAAACCCTGACCGCACAGACACGCACCTCAAACTCTTCGAAAACTCTTGCGTCACCTTGGTCGCCAAAAACTCCAGTGACCGCCGCGCCAGTCTCCAAGTCCAAGCTCTGGCCCCGAGACCACGCAGCTCCAGCCTGGTCACCTTCAGCAACCCTCTTGATATTAGAAGAACCAGCCTACTGCCTATGCATATGATACTGAGGAGAAGCAGCGTCAGACCTGGGTTTAGTATCCCAAAAGTACGAGTTTCCAAAGCTCCTCCGACTACATATGAACCTGAAAAGATTCGCCGGAAAAGCAGTGCTAAAGATGGAGGAGGACATTTTTTGCAAATACCAAAGTGGCGCTACAAAGAGTTGAAAGAAGAGAGGAAGAAAGCAGAGGAGGCAGAGAGACGTAGACTGGAAGCTATTACTAAACGACATCTCGCCTCTGGGAAAAGGAACTGATATGACTGCTTTAAAAGACATGATAAAATGACCAAAAAGCACAGTACGCGTTTTATTTTTTTACCCTAGAGAAATAGCCATGCATTTTCAAATTCACTTTTTGTTGTTTGTTGATGCTGTTACATGCTCAGGGTGACGATTGGAGAACCAGCAGTGTTCCAGAGTGCAGTGAAAATTGTCTGGCTTTTTGGGCTCATCTTTGTATCCTTGAGGTAAAAGGATGCGGTTTAATAACTGTCAACAGCATTAGAAGTGCACGATGGTTGCTCCCAGTAATGTTTATACCCAAGGGTTCATACTTGAAATGTTTAGATAACTTATTTTTCGTATTTATTGCTTTTTAATGGAGTGAAGATGGCCAAGTCTTTTTTATGCTTTGGGTACACCATGTAGAAATGTTTTTGTAGTGAACCAAACAGGCTCACAATCTGTTTTTTACAAAGCAATAATTTAATAGTTAACTAGAAACTACTAATGTGTGCAAGTACAATCCAAGGGTTTTAACTCAAATGAAACAGGGAGCAATATTTTAGACACAGCGCAGGAATGTAATTAACATTTTTTTTTAATTTTCTATAGAGATCTAACACTAAATGACTTTTGTTACACAATATGAACAGGATTCTAGCCATAAAACAAACATAACTCAGCACTTAGATCTATTTTGCTGTAACACTGACACTGCTTTGTCTGAACTTTTTAACAAATGCAAATAAACACTGGTCAAATGCTTTAATTCTTAATTCGTTTTTAAGAATACATATTTTAAGAGTAAGGTCATAACACCTTGAGAAGGTCTGATCAAGGCACTTCACTCACCTTGCCTCAAGTGTCCATGCTTGTGTATTAATGAGGGTGTCGTGGATTAGCTCATGACTAAAATCACATAACTTGAAGTACCATCTCATGACATCATAAACTGGAATAAACATTTTGAGCTTGGGCGATGTAGACAGCAGAGGTGGGACCAAGTCGTTGCTTTGAGAGTCTCAAGTAAGTCTTAAGTCTTTGACCTCAAGTCCAAGTCAAGTCCCAAGTCAAAGACAGGCAAGTCCAATTCGTCTGCTCTGAACTTCAAGTCATTTCAAGTATTTAAACCAGAGCACCAAATATAGCTTCCATTTATGCAATTCATATGAATTTAAAACTAAACTGTACTTGGTCATGGTATATTTATATATGAGTTTTTATTGCTAGAAATGCTATTTTTGTTGTTTTTAAATGTCTTGACAAGATCTTATTGTGAATCATTACAGTCAGAATAGAAAGAATTAAGATTTAAAAGTGCTTCACAACAGGTATTTTTTCATGAAAGATCATGTTCTCTGTAAGTCCCTCTGTTTTACTGTATTGTACCGTATATTACTGTAGTACATTTAAGGATACCATCACAGTACTTCATTTACATCCAAAGTAACAAACAGAGAATTGAGAGGGACATGTTCCAGTTTGTTCCTGTAAAATTAATCACCGCATTTATCAACTGTGAAGAGAAAAGTATTTTCTAAAAACATTTTTTTTTAGGAGAAGCATCAATTCTTCTCAAGTCATAGGCCTAAAGTCCACGTCCAGTCTCAAGTCTTAGTCCATTTTATCAAGTCAAGTCTCAAGTCCTAAAAATATTGACTCAAGTCTGACTCAAGTCCAAGTCATGACTATGACAAGTCCCCACCTCTGGTAGACAGACTAACAACACAGGGCTACTCAAACATGCATGAATGAAACAAAACACAACTCCACACATGTTTTTCATATTCAGGCATTAAAACATGGCTTAAAGCTCACTAGGGTCAATTGTGCATAAAAAAGAATCTTTATAAAAAGGAACCCAAACAGCAGGAAACCCAGACAAGAAGAGAAACATGCAAAAAGATCTAACACCACTTGGGAGTCAACCCTATTCACACAGAGGACATGCAGTCTTCTCTTCCTCCTCTGAAAGTGTTTTGGAGTATTCATCTTACTAATAATGACAACTTAAATGGGTTTAATATACATTTGGAGAGGGCCCATTGAGACTTGGTCAATGACAGTCCACTGATAGAGCAAGAGGTCATTCTCCTGATTAAACATTAGAACAGGAGAAGTAATGGTGTTTCAGAGCTGGGACATTGAATACAGTCTATCATGGGAAAAGCCAGCCCTATAACATCATCACAATTTCACGCTCCTAAAGTCCTCTTGGCCATAGCAGCTCGGTCACTATCGGCGAGTGTGTGTCTAATATACATGGTGATGGGTTGGTAAAGGGGTTAGAGGCACAGAGTCGCACCAAATCGTTTCTTTAAATTAACTTCATTGACTTCAGAGTGGCAGTTTCCATAGATACTGCTGAGAGGAAGCTATTTCAAAGCAACAAAAGACGACTGAACCAGGCTCTGAGAAGATGCAGGATTATCATGTTTGACATTTACAAATGGTTGGTCTAAAAATGTCTGCAAAGAACTGTATGAACTTGACATAAGAAAAGTAGGTTGAAACTGATATAGTTTAACTTGTCTATTAGTTTTGAAAAGGTACATAATTATTTGAAAAGAAACTCTGGTACCACTTTATAATCATCTTATCATCTTATTTGATAATGAAGAAATGGTTTATTAAGAATGATTCAGGCTTAGTAACTTAGTAGTAGTTAAGTAAACTATTCTAAGTGATGTTATGTTAAAGCGTTACTGCAACTCTTCCTTGCAGTTACTAGTTGCTTTAAAGGTGCATTGTGTAACTTTTCTGGTGTAGGGTCTGTCAAATTTGTCCGGAAAGTTTCACAGCATGATATTAAACCTTGATATTAGACCAGTTACATGTCGGATCTGTGGAGAGGCAACCCCGCTCACAGTCAGAACGCCTGTTTTTGTAGGTATTTTTAAGCTATGAAACCACCTGTAATTGAATAAATGTGAAGTAGAGCTGTTTAATGCCATACTGTGGACCATTCCAGGCAAAGGAATGACATATCCATTGAAAAAAACAGGTGACGGACCCCCAACCAGAAAGTTACATAGTGCATCTTTAAGGCAGACCCATATACATGGACAGGTTCAGCTCAAATTTTGGTAGAAAACCTGATTTTACAAAATTGTAATTCAATTTTGCAAAATGAAAATTTTCAATATTGTCTTTTCAATCAATTTCACATTCCCACTCATGCAATCATTTTAGTGTGATAGCCTACTTTTACTATATCTTAAGTGGGCCATAGCTGCATTATAATAATACAGAAAACACAGTAAATACCTCTGTCACCTCTGCAGGATGCCACCATTCGAGTGGTCAGTGGGGCCTGGATGGATCGGTTCATATTTAGGTCATGGTTGTAGTTGAAACATCTGTTGGTTCAGATTGTAACCTGAGATTATGCGCCCCTTCAGGCTTGCTCAGCTATTTCTCCCTCTCACACTCTCTCTCTCCTCCTCCTCTCTCTTCCTCCTCTTCTCCCTTTCCCCAAATCCAAATCCCCAGATAGACTCAAAGTATCTACTCATATGGGACACTATTTACTGATAGTACACGAGCTATTATGCCAGCTCGGTTGGGAATTATTTGGGATTTACACTGACCTCTTTATGTCGCCAGTGCAGCGGTTGATGGGGGAATCCACACCTGAGGCCCTCTGCTGGTGGGTTTTAGTATAATAGTTACACTATTTTCTTTATTGGTCTGTGCTTACTATGGAAAAAATGCTGTGTTTTAAGTATTCTATTAAGATCTTCAGCAGTATTGCTTAATAGTCTATATGTTATATTAGACAACCAAAATCACCTTAACTCAGTCTATGCTGACGTCACCTTTAACAGTTAATATTATGTTCATTCAAAGCAAATTGTTCACAGCTGAAGATGATCTATTAAAAATAATATAAGACACTGATTATAAAATATTTCAATTGCAACATAATATATTTAAATGAGATCAACATTTCATTTTTGGTTGTAGAACAAACGGTGCCCTCAGCATTTGAAAATGCATTTGACATTTTATTTATTTATTTATTCAATGTTTTACCAGGGAAGTCAATTGAGAACACCTTCTTATTTACAATGAAGACATGGCCAAGAGGCAGTATAAAACATCAATCATAACATGAAAACGATAAATCGAAACTTGAAACAGTGAAACATTTGCAGACTAAAGATATAAAAGTGTTAAAAGCATGTGCACTGATCCTGCAAAATACATTCATCATAAACCAGAAGTTAAAATAATGTTATCTGAATAAAAAGTCTGTAAAATTCCACAGCCACTGGAGTATGTATGTTCTGATTCTGTAAATGACAATATGGATATATGTCTTCACACTTTTCTGCTTTCCAGGGAGACTACCAAAATAGACTGGATTCCAGCCAATCAGCACTCCAGAAAACTGAAGCTCTGGATTGAATATTAAACCTTAGTGAGTCATTGCAGCCAATATGTCACAGTAACTTTGTCATTTTATCAAACAGCACAAACAGAAGTCCTGGATCTTAAAATCTAGATCCTATCCAGTTTGTCTGTTGACTGAATACTTGTGCTCTCTATAGTATACAGTAGTTGCTCCTTTGCACAAACCAGTTGAAACCAGTTGTAATTTTCTGCACACCACATGGCAAGCAGCTGGCCATGTATACTCAGGGCTAATATAATTAAGTGCCTAAAATGTGAATGACATCCAGGTAAAGTGCTCTCAACTATAAAATGGACATTTATTATATTTGACAAGGATTGCAAAGACGTACTATGAACATGACTGAAATTAATGTATTTTTTGGAAATTGGCAGGGAGATTTTTGAACATTTTTGCATATCTATAAATAGTCTCTCACTGGGCAGCTCTTTGCACTAATGTTGATAGTTTCCATGGATACAGCCTGTTAAGCTTCAGATACATCCAATACAAAAGGCCAGTAAGGTCTACAAGTATTTTTACAACAATTTCAAAAGCCAGTTAGTGAATTTAAAGGTGCACTATGCAATTTTTCAGATGGGAAGTCTGACTGTTTTTTTCTGTCCATAGAGATGTTATTGCTTTGTCTAAGATGTTGCATAGACATCGAGTTAGACTTAGGCAAACTTGATTGATCCACAAGGGAAATTACTCAGATACAGAAGCTCAGACATCATAGTAAAATATAATAACAAAGAGCAAAATATATAAATGGTAGGAGTGTAACGATATCCAAGTCTCACGATACGATATCATCAAGGTATGAACCTCACGGTACAATATTTATTGCGATATCGTGGGAAAGCTCACGATATGACGGGGAGGCTCACGATTAGGGATGTAACGATATCCAAATCTCTCTGTATGATATTTTCACAATATACATCTCAGGGTACAATATTTATTGTGATATTTTGTGGAGGCTTACAAAACTGTGTAAAAAATATGTTACTTTTTCCTCTTAAAATGCCTTGACAAGACTCAATCCAAAGAACTAAGACTTAAAAGTGCTTAGAATTGTTATTTCTTCTTGTAGTCTACGTTGAAATGGAGCAAAGGATCATGGTCTATGTTGTTCCCTCTGTCTTTTTTTTTTTAGCTATTGCTGCACCATAACTCTTAATTTAAGCAAAGAGACTTGTAATTCGATATATATTGTGACAAACTTTGACTATACGATATCAAGATATTTCAGTTATTGTTACATCTCCAATAAATGGTGATAACAAAATCAAAATAAGCAGCAATAATAGCAAGAGACAGGTGTCAATAAAATCATAAAATGTATTTGTACAAGCAAAACTAAAATATAGAAATGTATCATTACAATATGGCATTTCCAGTTCCAATTTTTATTGCCCTGATATAGTACCTTAAAAAAACATGTATTCTCAGGGTCACCTCTCCAGAGATCTGATCGCCGCCACCTGCTAAATGTCATACTGAGAAACACTTCAGGCAGAGCAATAACATCTCCATGGAGACAAGTACGTTAAGGAAGCTCCAGCGTAAAGTTCCATAATGCACCTTTAACATAAAGACTGTAAAGTGATGTCTCTCCCACTGTACACATCTCCAGCAGTGACTTTGGCTGTGGTTTGACGGGTTTTATTGGTCTAACAGGAGCTGACAGAACACCTGGCCGCAGACGCCTGTGAAAAGATGGATTACATGCACTAGCACCTGGCTCACGGTTGCGTGCGTGTGTTTGTGAAGGCAGGAAAACAGCGCACAAGAAAAGATGAGTGTGTTTCATTTGAAAACACCACCTGAGCCCAAATCCCTCCGAGCACGGCTAATTCTCCACGGGACCCTCAAATATAGTGTTCAAGAGTTACAAGGCGTGACCTATCAAGGGCATGTACCAACTTTGCACCCCATTCCCATTTGCCGTATTTTCAGTTTTAAAGTAAACAGTAGGCTACTAATATGAGTACAAACACTGAATATACTTTTTGGGCTGTGTCTCAAATCTATTTCTTTTATTCCTCAGTGGTCGATGCTCAAAGAGATGAGCGAGCCAACAGGAAACGACCTTCTACAGTCACCTGTCCTTAGTGGGTGGGATCTACAGACATGGATAAAATTGTTGGTATCCCTCTAGCAATGAAAGAAAAATCAACAATGGTCACTGAAATAACTCTGAAACTGACAAAAGCAATATAAATACAAATTTACTGAAAATTGTCCAACAAAAATCAAATGTTGGTTTTCATCTGTGGTTAAACAGAATCATTAGAAAAAACAAAATAATGAAAGTGGCCTGGACAAAAATGATGGTACCCTTAATATTTTGTTTCACAACCTTGTCTCAGGTTTGAAAGGTGCCTTCTCCACACAGCATGTTTCAGCTCATTTTACAGATGTTCAACAGAATTTAGATCTGGGCTCACAGAAGAACACACCAGAACAGTCCAATGTTTTGTTCTTAGCCATTCTTGTGTGTTTTTAGCTGTGTGTTTTGGGTCATTATCATATTGGAAGACCCGTGGCCTGCGACTGAGACCAAGCTTTCTGACACTAGGCCACACATTTCGTTCCAAAATATCTTGACAGTTTTGAGATTCCATTGAATTTTGCACAGATTCAAGACACCCTGTGCCAGATGCCATACAAAACAGCCCCAGAACCAAGCCTCCTTCATGCTTCACAGTAGGGACAGTGTTCTTTTCTTGGTGTGCTTCATTTTTGCGTCTGTGAACATAGAGCTGATGTGTCTTGCCAAAGAGCTCCAGTTTTGTCTCATCTGTCCAAAGGACATTCTCCCAGAAGCTTTGTGGCTTGTCAATATTCATTGTGGCAAATTCCAGTCTCACTTTTTTATGATTTGCTCTCAGCAGTGGTGTCCTCACATGAAGTCCACTTTGGCTCAAACAGTGATGGATGGTGCGATCTGACACTGATGTACCTTGTCCTTTGAGTTCACATTCAATTTCTTTGGAGGTTGTTCTGGGCTTTTTGGTTACCATTCGTATGATCCATCTCTTGAATTTGTCATCAGTTTTCCTCTTGCGTCCACATCCATGGAGGTTGGCTTCAGTCCTGTGGACCTTAAACTTCCGAGTAACATGTGCAACTGTAATCATAGGAACATCAAACTGCTTGGAGACGGTCTTATTGTTTTTATCTTTAACCTGCTTGTCTATTATTGTCTTTCTAGTCTCCTGACACAGTTCTCTTCTTCTCTTTCTCTGGTCCATGTTCAGTGTTGTATCCATCATGTTCCCAACGGCACAATAACACATGTCCCCATTTAAACAAGCAGACTGACTGAGGACAAGTTTGAAGGCAGAGAGACACACCTAAGTTTAACATGTCCCTATTGTCCAATTACTTACAATCTTTTCTATGGGTACCATCATATTTGTCCAGGCCAGTTTCATTAGTTTTTTTTTTTTTTTTATAATTCTGTTGAACAACACATCAAAAACTGTGTCTGATTTTCATTGGTTATTTTTCAGGAATTTATTCATTATTTTTTTTCATTAGTTTCAATTATTTCAGTGACCATTGTTGATTTTTCTTTCCATACCAGAGGGGTACAAACAATTTTGTCCACATCTGTACGTTTACTTACACACCATCCGATCATTGTCTTATTTCTGGAGTTGTCAGATTACTCAGATGACATGTACAGTTACATCTGATGTGAGTAATCAGATTTCTTTCTAATTGTTCACACAAGTTTTGGCAAGGAAAGTTGTGTGAAAAAGGGTAAAATAATGTGGAAAAGACAAAAGAAAGTACTTATATTCTTACTGGAGCTTTGAATCAGGAATAACAAGTTGGCATTTACAGTAACGGTAGTGAAAGTAGCAGATTTGAAATGTGTTAGAGTTCACAGTTCTCTAAGCTTCCCTAAAACCCCCAAGTAAAATTACAAAACAAAAAAAATAAAAATCAATGCAATGCACTCATGGTAGTCAATATCTTTATTTAACTATGACAACCACACCTAATACCACTCACAAACTAAAGATTTATACAATTTGAACATTTTTCTCAAGCAAAAGAACCAAGCAAAAACAAAAATAAAGCTTTTTTTAAACTTAAATTAACATACGAAATTATTCTTTCTTGGCATTACTATATATATATTCTCTTTTTTAGAACCTGATCATTAGTGTTGAAACATGTGACACTTAACAGTACAGGATTCAGGTGAGAAATATAACATGGTGTCTGTATGCAAATGTGTACGATTGCAAAAAAAAAAATTAAAAAATCCCAAATTAGATAAATGTGATATGTGTTTAGAAATGTCAATAATGGCTAGCTGGAATAACAAGTTTTTACTTCAGTGTTAAGCTGCCACTTCTTTGACTTGTAATACTTTTTATGGAATGTATGCTTGAACAAATTATACTACAAAATGGTTGATATTGCCTATAAAGAAAAAAAAAAAACAGCAAATCCTTCTATGATCGGATAAAGAGGCAAGCACTGTGATATTTGAGGCAATAGAGATAGACAGCAAAGAAGCCCAAACACATGCCAAAAGCCTAGATCAGCTATTCGTTTTATAGGGAGAGTTAGCTGCCAATTTGTACTATTTGGGAAGGTAAAAGATTTGTCACCACTCTACTGATTATAAAATGAGTTTTTATTTGGTCGTATTACATTACTATGCTCCATGCTGTAACTGTGCAATATGGCAACTATTTTTTTTGTATGAAGCATTTCGATTGGTTATTTAACATCATTTGGGCTCATGCTTTGAGGTCATAGGTTGCGAGGGGTTTGATAACATGGATTTTGCGATTGGCTGGTTGTTGTGTTGTGGTATCGGTATATATGCGTGCAATGGAAGCTCCCCATCAGATTCAAATCCCGCTCACTTTATATTAATACAATTACACTCCATCGCCTATGTAAACCACAGTAAGACATATAGACAACTGTTAAGGACACAAAAGTGCAGAGTGTGAATAGTGCGACACCTAGCAGCACTGTTGTAAACTGATTTCTACATAGTGACCATATACTGGCATAAGGTACTTTGATTACGCAGTCAAGCAATAATTACTCTGATAAAAGGGCTAAGATTTGAAGCTGGTGGGGGGAAAGTCTTCATCGCTTGTGTGTTTGGTTGCGAAAGGCCGGTCGGTGGGGTAGTTAGCGTCGGCACGGTAGCTCGTCCCGGGGGGTAAGGTTCACTTGCGGGGCTGGTGGATGTGCTGGTTAATGTGCTGTGCGGGGGGCAGCTTGGGGACTCCCGGATGGGGCTTCTGGTGGGCCACCTGGGCAGCAGCAGGTGTGAAGTCCTTATCTCCCTGAACAGAGAGAAGCCACATTAGCGAGGAAGGGATTGGTGCTAAAGGCTACACAAAGTTAATGCAGGTTTGGGTGCATGAGTTTATATTCTTGCAGCGAGATATAGTATTTAATTTTCTGTACAGTGCTTCTGATTATCTGGACAGACTTCTACAATTAGCATTCTACTGATTTCTTCTATTTTTTATTTTTTTTTATAATTATTTCGCAACAATTTCTGTTTCTGAGTCAAATCATCTGCCATCCAGAGCTCAGCGATTTCAAAATAAGTTGGCTTCCTGACATACCCACAAGGCTAGTGTCATTTCACAATCATATTTGTAACTACTTGTTATATTATAGTTTTATATTATTGTCGTTTATGCAAGTATTTTGGGTTTCAAATGTACCTTCTTGCAAACTGTGCTTAGGATACATTTGGAACAGTTAATCAAAGTTATAATATTACATCTACTGTATTTGATATGCTATAATTAGGGCTGGGAATCACAGGGTCCCTCTCTATTCGATATGATACACGGCCCACGATGCGATATTATCATGATATGCAGACACATGCATCAGTTGATACATTAAACATGATACTCTGATATACTGCTGTTTTTAAAGAAGCTCTCTCTATTAAACCATTACAATTGCAAAGTTTATATAAAATACATCCACTTAAGTCATCAAAACTGTGAATATGTCAAGTGTATTGCCTCAACAAGTTTCTTTTCACTAAATAAGCAACAAAATTACAGTGTAATCCCCAAAAAATGGCTAAAATAACCCCAAAATATTCTTGCCGATATATCAATATAGCAGTCCACAACGATACTGTATCAAAAAATTTTGATACAGCATATTCACGATATAACCAGTGCTTCCCTGAAGTGTTTACAAGATTATTAATTAATCTACGTCGTTTCCCACAGTATGTGCAAAATCAACAATAGTGCAGAAAAACAAGCTTTGTGTGTATCTTGTGACCTATTTTAAAACCCCAGCCTCAGATGACTGCTACAACAATATGAAAATCCCTAAAGTGCATGAAGAGTACAGTAATCGTGCCCAGCTCATCTGTTCTGCAATCTGTCTTTCCAAGAAATACTGTGTTTATAAACAACCTTGGACCAAATCGGATCAAAGCGCAAACCAATAACAAGTATTTGAGGATTTTAATTACTGGCTTATGGCACCACATTTGCCTATGTTTCCCAAGTTAATCAGCAGTGATTCCTTTTTCATATATTAAAGGTTACTCAATTATGAACATAGTCTTCTACCAGAGTCCCTAAATCTCTCATTCTGAAGTCGTGCCCATATATAGCTCCTCCTGTCTTTACTTACTGTGCAGTATGCCTTAATATTTCTACTTCCAGACGATTCACATAGATAAAGTTATATAACCGACTTAATCTGTGCATAAACCCCTCCTCCTTGTTGATTTAATGTAATCCTCAGCCTATGCATATGGTGGCTTTTGCTTCCTCCCACTGTGGAAAACATCAGTATAGCCTTAACTTTGATGTGAGCTGAAAGTGCTGACTTTTATCTGCTAGAAATTACTAAGGATTTAGAAGTAAACTAATGAAAAACAAATCCAAGAAGGAAGAATGCATAAAGTAACCTGTACATATAAAACTAAGCAACTCTGGTTAACAGACACTTAATAATTTATTATAATTTAGTCAGTGGTATTTCTCAAGAACTTTGATTTAGTTTTATGATTTAATATTTTTAGTTTTAGTTGACAAAAATGTTAAAATGCTAATTTAGGTCGACCAAACAGTAGTTTTAGATAATCAGAAAACATATATTTTTATTCTACCTATGATATTGTATTAATATACTGTATTATTAATATAAAGTGAATGGGGTTTGGGGCTCTGGGGTTGAAAAGTAAAGCCAGGTGCTCCACATGCCCGTTTATTCATTTATGTTTAGTATTTATTAGTCAACAAAAATGTCAGTACTTTTACTTTTTACTCATAGTTACTGTTTAATTTTCTTTTAGTCAACAAAAACAAGACATTGATGGAAACTACTACAAAATATTTTAGCCTTAGCCTTGTTACACCTTAGTCTTAGAGGTTATAGAAAGTACTAGGAAACAGCAGTTAAAATTTTGTGAACACAAAAAGTAAATGTCATCAAGTTCATCGAAAGTGATAAATCTGCGTTGCCTGAGATTTTCCCATACAAAACCTTAACAGTGCGTCCAATATAAAAGCGCAGGTTGAGTGTAAGTGCTCACAGAGGAGAAGTGTTTCACTCAGCTCCTAAAAGCCTGTTCAGAGCTTTACGTAGTGCTCGCCTCAGTCTGATGGCACTGATAGCAGGCAGCAGAGGGGAATGTGAGGATCGGGGAGAGACGGGATGCCTGCCACCTCGTTGATATTGGACTAATCTTACGCAAACAATCCACATGCCCCCAGTCACCAAAATAAAGCTTTGAGTAGGGCCGCAAGATTAACTGCAAATCCAATCGAAATTTTAAAATGGATGCAATTAGAAAATCGCAAAGACAGCAACTTTTGCAGTGCCAGCATTTCCTCCACAACAACTAAATAAACTGTCCTATTCTGCATAAAAACTGCTAACCTGAAGTTTAGATCTGTACACGCGTTCTGAAATGAGATTTTTATATTAGATTGTCAGCTCAGATTTCAGTCGTTTTGTCAATTCTTCTGGACGTGTTCAAAGGTCATATGCTACGCAAAACTGACTCTTGTGAGCTTCATGTTAGAATGTTGTTACGTCCTCAGGTATGTTTGTGATGAGGACATAGATCAGAAATAGTTTAAAATATGACCTTTGAACAGAATCTTATTATTAAAACATGCATCTAATTGCATCTTGTCAGAAAAATCGCAATTACAATTTTTTCCTCAACTCATTCAGCCTATTCTATCTTTTGAGCATCCAGGAAATCAAGGACACTTTTTTCCCCCTTACGTGTGTGCTGTATGTTCACACTGCATTTGAGAGGACGCAGTCTACAAACACCACTATTCACAGATGTTGACCCACTTTCTACAGAGCCGGGTCAAGGTTGTTTAAACCTTTTACTTTACCGCCTTAAAAACACCACAAACAAAACCCAAACAGCCTGAAAAATTGCACCTTTTTCTTTTTATCACAGTAAAATACAACCTGTCCTCTGCTGTTGTCGAAGCGGCTGGTAAGATTGACAGCGACCCTTTCCAGATATTTCTCTCCTGTGTTTCTGTGCACTAAACTAATCTAACAGTTTTGAGAACAGTGAATAATTATCAAGAGCATGTTGTTAATGAATCAGGATATAGAATTAATGAAATCTTTGTTAATTTCTTAAAATAGTGATTGGATTCAGTGTCATAGAAGTCTCAAAAACATACTATTTTTTAAGTTCTGTCACCCTTTTTGTTGATGTACTAACCCGCTAATAAATTCTTTAAGCAGAGCCCATGTTTCAAAAGCTATGCGCAAATTTCAAACTATTTTCAATGCATGCTCTAGGCTTGTCAAAGCATCGAAAATCTGGTACTAATCAATGTTAAAACTAGTATTGAAACTAGATATTAATTTGAAAAGATACTCATTGTATCGATACTAAAAAAGTCACATTCACAGGATAGAAATGAACCTTTCCTGAATAGCTTTAGTATGATCTTACGCTATATTAGAGCAAGTATAAAAGCACACAGAGTAGTATGCACCATGGACCACTATGGAACCTACCTGTATGAGAGATTACACAGATATAAGGTCACATGGAAATGGCCTACTACAATTTAATATTGAAAATGACTTTCTACTGTTTTTTTTAATTTCCCTCATGAACAGAAATGTATTGAGTATAGAGCCTATTCCTTAGTTTGGAAATATAGAGTTTGAAACTTTACTATCATGACAACACTATGCTCCAATTAACCAATTAACCAACTGCTTTAGTGCTGTAGAAATAGCAACTAAATTTTTTACCAATCTATGACAAGGCAAACTGCTTGGGTGTCCTATGTGTTTTTAACAGCTTCTAGTTCTTTCATATTTATTTTGCAGTGGTGTCTTTATTGTGAGTGTGTGCATACCTTTGTAACCACTCCAGACACGATGACTGGAGGCTTTGGTGGGCTGAAAGAAGAGAGGAGGGACATAGCGTTAGTCATCGAAATAAGCTAACCTTGCAGCATAGTGTGTATAAATTGTTGCTTGTACACCAGCAAAATGCATCCAAAAGTTGTCCTAACACAAAATCCACATAGCCGTAAACTCTCCGGAGACACACGCTCATACAAACCGGATGGACCTGCAGGCAGATTAAATAGGCCCCATTCATCCTCACCAAATACATGGCAAGTGTACGGTAAGAAGAGAGGGAGAGGGAGTGAAAAAAGGTATAAAGGAGTCAATGAAGGAAAGGAAAAATGAACTAAGATGAAGGCTGAAGACTTATGGGAGCAGAGAGGGCAGCCACGAAAGGTTGCTGAAATCCCTTCATTATAATACATGGAAGTGGAGAGTATAGGTGGGCGATATTTCAAGACTTGATGCAGCGTTGCCATGGCAATTAACAACAAACAGATGCTCAAAATGGTGCTTATACAAAGAAGCTGAAATGCATTAAAAGAGAGATTTAAAAAATCATACCGACATTGTTGATGTGAAGGTAAAATTAAATTATTCTTAATTAATGTAATCATATATCATCTATACTGGGAAAGCTGAGCAAAAGTTGCAAAAAATTAACAAAATAAAATAAATATAAAATAAATATCAGAGTTTTTGTGATTCTTCAGCCTTAACTACATTTACAAACAGTTTTTAGCACATTTCTGATAGATTACAAAACTATAATCTGGTTATCGTTGATGGAATTGTCCAAAAATATGAGATATTAATTTGTGTCAATACTGCGTACTGTAGCTGTCCCAACGCTCACTCATACATAGTAGAGCAAAGAGGCATAGGACCAAGAAAAGAGATGAGGAGGAGGAACGCACGACCCGAGGTAAGTATCGACCTTGACATGACAAACGAGCAGCATCTAATTTCATGGCAGCGTCACCCCCGGCAACCAGCGTACAGTTGTTGTAGCCACCTTTAAAACTCCACTCAAAGTCATTAGCAATAGCAGTGAGCATGTCCAACTTATAACACAAACCATTAACGGTGTGTGCAAATGTAGTGAAGACGTGGGACGGGTGCTGTGAAATGGAAACAGCCCAAATTAAATTATTGAAGTGGATTATAAGTGATACAAAACATCTGCTACTGATTTTCAACAGTTTATGGGGCAGGGAAAACTTTTTAATCATGGTTAATTTAATCATGTTGTGGATATAAAGACATCTGGGCGTCCAGGCAATCAATAGTCCACTAGTCAGAAACTAATCTCAAAATGTTGGTATTAAATGTTCATGTAGATTTTTATATTTTGTTTAACTTTTGGGCTGGACAGAGTTGCTTAGCTAAACTACGCATTTTTTCTGGTGATCTGCTTGTCTCTAGACGGATGTTATTACTTTGCCTGGAATGTTCCACATTATGGCATTAAATGTTTCTCCATAGAGACAAGCATGTGACACCACCAGGCCAAGTTGCAGGTCAATAAAAATACCTCCTTTAACATGTCTTTGAAGGTATTTGAGCAACAAAATTGAACAAACGCAAACAAGTTAAATGCAGTACTGTGGAGCATTTCAGGCCAAGCAATAACTTCGCTGATTTTGCTTTGCATAGTACAGCATTAAACATATCTATATCAGATTTTATTAAATTACTGGTGTTTTATTGCTCAGTCATGGTAGAAATGTTTGACTTAATACCAAATTGTAGAACATTCCAGGCAAAACAATAACAAGAAGGTGGCAAACTTTCCACCAGAAAGGTTAGGGTAACTAATCTCAAAATAGGCATGCAAATTACAAATAATGTTTTAATAATAAATGTTGAAAAGTAAAAGAATCCAAATATTTCAGGTATTAACACTTAAAAAAAACAAAAAAACAATCCCGTGTGTTAATTCCATGTCTAATACTAAAGTCACACTAGTTTTATGAACAGTAGTTGTCAAAGTGAGCTGCAGGTGCCCAGAGGTGGGGGAGAGGTGAACAGACTCACAGCTGGAGATGGATTCACTTGTGAGGCAGCGTGGGCTGCTTTCCAACCCATGCTGTGTTATCACAAGTCTCTGTTGTATTATACTGTATTACCTCCACCACACTGTCTAAGGATACAACCCAAAATAAACTGATACAACTATAAAATATGTGTGGGAAAATGTAGTAGAAAGATCTAAATCAACAACTTGCATTTCCAATACAAATTAGACACTATGCTGTTTAAAAGATGCACTATGTAACTTTTCTATAGGAGGGTACGCCACCTGCTTGCTTCCATGGAGATGTTATTGCTTTGCCTGAAATGTTCCACAGTTTGGCATTAAATCAAACATTTCTACCATGACTTTTTGAGCAATAAAAACACCAGTAATTTAATCAAATCTGATACGTTTAATGCCAGAGAAGCAAAGCAATATCATCGCCATGACAAGACAAGACTAAGACTGTGGTGTACCATCCTCCTCAGAAGTTAAATAGTGCATCTTTTACTATAGAAATAAAGACTAAATTATGGGTTTTAGTCATGCCACATAATAAGATAATGATTTCTATTGAGGGATAAGCCTGATTTCTTTTATATGGGCCCAGTGATCTCCTATAATCTACACTGGTGAAATATGTGTGTGGTGTATAGAGGGAGAGTCAATAGAGATGTAGACAACACAACCAACCAAAGCAAATCAGACAAAGCTTTCTGATACGATTTGGTTCAATGCCATGCAGAGGATGGTTTCATTGACCGTGTTAACCTGCGGGGGGCAGTAGAGAGCTTCAAGGAATTCCCAGCCTTTTTTCCAGCCTTTGTTCAATGAAAGAATAGTTAGAAGAAACAAAAAGAAAAGGTGGAAGAAAAGTGGTTCCGAGGCGCATATGGCAAATCAGCTAAATTACCAAAATAACTCAAATGCTGACGTGTGTGTTACTTTATAATGTATAATTCACTGTATTTAGGCTTCCAGTCACAACTCATCTAAACTACTGCTGCCACCCCACCCATATCTCCCTCACTCTCTCTCTCTGTGCTTCACCAGAGCAGGAAGTTTGTGCCGTGGGCGAGGTGCTGGTTGCTATAGAAACTGATGCCTGTTGCCTGCACGATATTAGAAAACCTGCAATATGAAATAATTATGTTACTGCAATAATTAATATTTGTAAGTATTCTAACAAACCACATTTTAAATAGTAAGTATAATTAACCAAAAACTAAATAAATGAATATTCGAAACTAATTAGAAACTAAATCAGGTATTTATAGAGTAATATAGAAGAGTGTAAGAGTGGCACGCTGGCTAAGTGGCCACTAGCACTCTCGCCTCACATCAAGAGGGTTCTGGGTTTGATTTGGACAAACATCAACCCATACATGCTCAATAGGTAAAATCCTGCAACTAAGGTAGTTCAAGTTTAGAAGGATGGGTCAAATGCAGATGACCAAAAACATACAGGGACAATAAAATGCACCTTAACCCTAAAAAAATATAAAAATCTATATTGCACCGGCTTTCTGCCCTCCTCCCCTCTTCTCCCCTTTCCCCCTCTCCCCTTGACATTTTCACTAACTGTGCCCAGTGCTCACTTCAGCACAGGTCCATGCACTCACTGTGTCCAGGGTTTGCTCAAGTGGACACAGCAGCAGCAGCAGCAGCTTTTTGGAAGGCATCCATGTGTTAGCTGCATCTGAGGGAGAACTGTGACAAAGCACGCACAGAACCCAGAAGTAAACTTAAGAGTGACATTGCTATTGTGAAAGACTTTTAAAGGACTTTGGAACATGAATTTAAACTTTATAAGAGTTAGACAAGAGTGAAGCTAACTAGTAAACCTCCAGACATTTCCCAACCATAGAGATAAACAGGTTTGGATAAGGCTTCATTCATAAAACAATACATTTTACAACACAGACTTGTTTCATACAAACCACTTAGAAAACTGCATTTATGCTTGTGCTAAAGAATCATTTGCTGAAATTTTTGGCACTATATTTTATTATAACCAGCATGTGCTATTTTGAAACAGCCCACTCTCTCTTCACCTACCTCTCTTAAAAGACTCTGCACAATATTGTACAGCTCCCTAAAACCCTTTGGATAGAAACACTGCTTTGTGCCACTGTTGATCGTATTCCTAATGCATCCTAAGACATTCTCCTGACAGCCAGTGGTCATGCATGCTTCCTGGGTCACTAGTCCTTGCTCTTCTGTCTCCCCGCTGCTTTCTTATCTTTGTATCACAACAGCCTCCCAAGGTTTCCATACGTTCCTAATCCTCTCTATCCTGGTAACCCATCTCCGCCGCTCACGGCCCGCGCCCTGCCTGTCTATCTCTGGTAGATTGGGTGCGGCAGGTGCGCTCCTGACTAGAACGCTTCAGTGGCTGCTACTAATGTGAAATTTAGCCAGCGGCCACCTGCTCAGCGTCCATCAGCGGGACACAGGCAGGACAGACGGACTTTGTGTGAGTCAGAGAAATTACTGATGGATTGTCATTACTCAGCAACAGAAATTTGTCTCTGGTGCACACAAAAAAAAAGATAATGCAATGAGAAGAATTTAAGACTAATAAGAGATTAGACAAAACTCACACAGAAAACTCTCACAGAAAACTACTGTGTACAGAAAGGTACTGGTAAATGACATGAAAGGCAGATTAAACTGCAGTCACTCATGCACTCTCCATTCAGCTATGGCCTATATAAATCACCGTAAAGCAAATAAATAAGTGTACTAATAAAAAAAATTAAAAAAGGTTGATAAAGACAAATTGACAATTAAACGATCAAAGGACTACAGCCCTAAATGCCGACAAAATTCTCTTACATATTTTTTAACCATTAGACAAATTTATAATATAGATCTGTGTAAAAGTATTTCCAGAATAAAGAAATAACAGGTCATTCAAGTTAAATAATTGGTACTTGATTTTTTTCAGCAGTCCTTTTGTCACTAAGTGAGCTGTTCAGTTCATGCACACTAGCTCAAAATTTTGAGAGGTTCAAGGAGAACAAACAAACTGACAATTTCATTCAGTGTGTAAAGCATAATCTGGTACACTGATATTATATTTGAATACAGAGAAGGGATAAATAGTCTTAAATTGCTTAAAACACACATATTTGGTCACAAACTTATAAATAAGTTCTTGTCAGTGACACATTTGATATAGTTTCTGCTCCAATTGCCACACTGCATAAGAAACCTGCATGTTAAGAGCGTGATCCAGGATATAATTAAAGCGTGTCTGTGTGTGTCAGTTTGAGAAAAGAACATGCACATGCAGAAGATTTCTTGACAGTTGGCAGTGTTCTTGAACCTTGCTCGCTGCTGTGCATTGCTGTCAGCTCCCATTTATCACCTTTCATTAACACACACACACACACTCACACAAGCTGATAGGCTGTGTGAATACAACACCTGTACCAATATACACACAGCTCTCATGAATATTGAGCAGACAAATGCAGGGCAGGTATGAGGAGCAGACACTGTAATGAACACAACATGCAACAACCAGCTTCATCTCAAGTGGAATGACCTTACAGTGGGAAAATGGAATTGTTAGTGGGTGGTTCAGAAGGAAAAAACACTGTTTAGAAAAATAAAGTGAAAATGCTCAAGTCATGCACACTATACAGAAGAGATCATCAGCATGTGTTTATGCTGTAATTAGTAAAAAATCAGGTCATTTACAGGAGCAGATGAGAGCAAGACTCCTTATGACTATACAGGCAAAATGTATAATAAAAATAGGTTAATTTGCAAGGTTATATTGCATGTTATGTATACTAAAGTCTCATGTCATGCATAAGTTTAATGAGAATTTTCGAACAGTTACGAGCATTTGTTATGTGGACAATGTTTCTTAATTTTTGTTCACTTCCACAGCAACTTTAATGCATTTGTTTCTGACTTTTTAATCTTACTCTACTTTTGATTAAAAACATATGTTTTTCCTTCTATGGTAAGAGCAACATGTTTACGGTACATAAGAGGTGTTTCCACTGTAAACAGATGTGATGTTCACTAACACTAACAGTCTTTTACCTGCTGCTCTCATACTCCTCCTCGTCCTCATCCTTCTGGGGAGGTTCTGGAGCTGGAGTTGGCTGGTGCTTCTGCACTATCCTCATACCTCCAGCTTTCACTGACACACAACATAAAGGCAATGATTATTTAAAGAACAAAACACTCTAATCAATCACTGTCTGAACATAAAACACTCAGAAGAACACCAGGTTTGTACCCAATACTGTGTGATCATGATATAATTAACCTCACTGATGTAGGCTATTTAAACATTAACTCTACATAATGTGTTGGGTTTGTAACATATTTCCGATTGCTAGTTTGTGCAGCTGTGCCAGATGTCTCTAACACAAACTGCCAAACTTGAAATGTGTGCTAAAAAGGTCAAAGTAGTTGATTACAGGCTGCAGTGTAAACAGGTGTTACGTCCCCTTTGCCATTGAGCAAGAGAGTAAACGTGGTAACCTTGACCGGACTTTTTCCCTTTGAAACATAGCTTGTGAAAGTCCTCCCCCTAATGACAGCTTGAGCATGTTATCTTTCTGTGCAATCAGGACAGCAGCTCCTATCCTAGTGCGGTATCTCCCATTGACCACTGCTGCATAGGCCCAGTGCCCTGTCAGCAACATCACCCCTCCTCTCTCCCAAGTCCACGTACACGTTTCCTTTTGCCTACATCCGCACAGTCCTGACCCTCTACGTAAACCATGTGCAGCCAATATTAAACCTAACATTGTGATAGTGCCTAGTGGGAGCTAGTAGGCTACAAAGATTTAACGAGGCTGCTACAATAAGGAAGTAAGAAAATAAAGCCATTTACGAGCTGTCTTAAAAGCGCTGTCAGGTTATATACCACCTTAAACAGCATGCTATCTATCATGTCAAATCATTTTAAAGATTATATTATGCTTATTTACAATGGAGCCTGGGTTTGGTTCATTACGAAGGAAAGGGAAAAGGAAGAAAACAACACAACATGCTTACCTGCAGGAAGATGTCCTCCTTTCATTTCCACTTTCTCCTTCGGTGGTGAGGCCATGTCTAATGCAATCTAAAGCTCGCTGACAATATAGTAACGAGCGTCCCCGGGTGAACTAAGGCGGGTTTCAGCCTCAAATTGTGGACTACACAATCTGAATCGTCAACGTGGCTTTTTTCCTGAGTATTGTTTGGGAACCGTGCGTAATGACGCGCTGTGAACTGTGCGGAGCGTGTGAGCGTAAGTAGCGTGATGACGTAGAGTGTTCAAGACGGAAAAAAATGGGAATCCATAAAGGCTAAGACTTAAATTATTAAATACTATGTTGTATATTGACGATCTACATACTGAAAGCTCCCACAAAGTAAACAAGTATGAAAAGCAATATTTTATCAACCTTCCAAATTAAACAGCATTCGATGAGCAAAATTAGATAAGGCTAGGGTGATCAGATATTCAAAATTAAAAACGGGGACACACTCGGGTTGTGATGGTCGGTAATTTAAAAAAAAAAAGAAAAAAAAAAAAGTGAAATGATCGTTTACATTCTTTCCACACATCCACACGTGTCAGTATTTATTCTGGGGGGCTTTTTATTTATTTATTTTTATAATTTTTTTTTGCCTTATGCTCATTTTCAAGCATTTTTCTGTAGTTTAGCTAAAAGAAAAAGACAATATGTTGGCCTATTTACTGTAGATGGGTAACAATTTGGTCAAAAACATGGACAACTGGAAAATTTCTTGTATTAAACTGGGACAAATCAGTGGTTTAGTAGAAATCTGCTGGGACACGGGACACAGGGCTCAAAACTGGGACTGTCCCTGGTAAATAAGGATGTCTGGTCACCCTAGATTAGACTCTTCATTCAAAGAATATCATGTTCTGATTTGCTTATAGCTATATGGTATTGGTGATAATGTTTCATCACTCTGAAACCCATGGGTGGACTACAACTAGGCCAACTATAAAGACCCAGACTGGCATTGGGAGCACATTAACAAGAGCCTATCTTTGTTACTGTAGTGTTGACATTACAAGTCTGCCTGAATGGGAGTTTTAATTAGGGCCATACGTTAAGTAGCCTGTGTTAACAAGGATAAATATGCTATGTTTCTATAAAATATGAACGCAACTGACCTTCATCTGCTAGCTGTAAGAAATTAAAATGAATATGACATATGAATATAACATTAATAAAAGTCTGCAGTGCCAAATAGAGAAGAGATGTATAATTAAAGGCAGAGGGAAAATTCTAGAGCAAAAAGCAACTGCCTCAATGGTGTGACCTCAGTGGACACCTCTGTTTTCACACTTTTGTATTAATTGGCCGACATGAATCTGTCCTTAGGCAGAATTTCAGGCAAAACCAAGACAGGACAGAGGAAGCTGTGAGGAAAATATAATGAAACCACATGGATACTATTTTCAAATGAATTGGGCATTTTCAAGATGTTATGATAGGTGTTGGAGCATAAGGCAAAATCATTCATCGCAGAACAGATGTATGGCTTGCTGGAAAATCTAAATATTATTGGATGCCATGACAATTATTTATATTTCATGTGGTGGACCAAATCAATGAATCCCTATGTTATTGGCAACAAATCATTACAGAAAAGTTTGTGTTTCAAGGAGACAAGCAAAATGTCAAAAGATTTCACTGGTCACTTGCTCAAACAGTTATTTCAAGGGGTTTATTTCAAAACAGTATTTTTGAGCTCGATAATTTGGTGAAAATGTACACCAAGTGATTGCAGCCGGTCTCCTAGGAGTGACTAACTGGAAATTGTAGCCTAATGTTTAGACCTATTTTGGTGTTTTCAAACAGTTTCTTATTAAAAGGCCCATATTACGCTAATTTCTGGTGAATACTATAATGTTTTTTCCTCATCACAAACATTCCAGAAGTTGTTTTTTTTTTTCATTTACACGTTTAACACACAAATCCTGCATATTTAGTCTTTGTTCCTTTCTTAAACAGAAACACTGTACCACCTTGTCATGTCATGTAGTAGTACAGAAAGTGCTCTACTGTGTTTTTAAACTCCATACACCTTTACTGGAATAATTTGGATGATTTCAGACCATTTTGAGCTTTCAAGATGTAGACAGACTAATAATAGAGGGTTCATCAAATGTTTTTCATGAGGTAACAACATCATAACATGTTTTAAAGCTCACAAGAATCCATTTTGTCTAATATAGGACCATTATTTTTGTTGTTTTAACTCAAAATGAATCAACAACAATGTATATGCATGTACGATTGGCTTGTTTAGTGCTTGTTTATGCTAAAAACTGGTGAAGATTTGTCAGCAATTTAACAACATATATGTGACAAGCATTCAGCATGTGTCCTCAGACCAGCCTCACCGTAGCCTATCATGGGTGTGCGTATATATGCGGCCACTAGATGGAAGAATACAGCTTTGGCTCTATGGTCAAGTGCCTCCTATTGTGTACGTGGGAGTGCAGGATTCCTCAGCAGTGCTATATTCAAACCACCCTGCTCCCCAAAAACCTGTAGTACCACTTTTGAGCTAAAAACAAAAGGCAAGGACACTATTTGCACAAAATTTATTTCATTGTGTGAATAAACCTGCACCAGTTTTTGTTATGAGAAAGTATTAGTCATTACAAAGAGAGAGAAGTCATGGCATGAATTCAAAGGACTCTGAGTGGAATCCTCTTGAAAAGTCAGTGATCCCCACATCTGCCCTGGTCTGATATGAGCGTAGGTGCGTGAATGTGTGTGGTGTCTGTGTGTGTGTGTGTGCGTATCCTTTAGAGAAGTGGTGACGCCTAACAGACAGACAGAATGAGGACGTCACAGGTGAGTGAATTTACCCAGACTGACAGGAGCACACGCACATGCACCTGACAGGGTTTATGTGGCTTGTGGGGACTTCCATTAATTTGCTATAGCCTTAACCTACATTTCAAGCTCATGTATAAAGCTGTAACTGTAATTTCCTTTCCAACGCCATACCTATGCCTCCTATATTTGAAGTACAATATGTTCAAAGTCGTTCAAAGCTAAATGTTAAAGATTCAGTTTGTAACATTTCAGACAGTCATCTGCTTAGTCCAATGAGGTTCATTTGGTCTTCTGATAATTTATGTTATTAGGTTCTTTTTTCAGACCAAGAGTTTGTTTTCACACCTGACAGGTTTGGCTGCTCACTATCTGTCTTCCTCAGAGTGGTGACGTGACCGGTCAGCTGATTATTCAGGTTTATACAGGTCCGACCGCTAGTGAGCAGTTGAAACTATCAGGTATGAAAACAAAGTCTTGGTCTGAAAAAAGAACCAAATAACATCAGTCACCTGCTTGTTTCCATAAAGATGTTATTGCTTTGTCTAGAATGTACCACTTTGGCAGGGGTCATCAAACTATTTTTCTCTTGGGGCCACATTATCACTCCTGACTGTGATGGGGGGCCAGGTCAGGTAGGCCGTATATCAGAATTGTATGACCCTGACAATGCAGATTATATTCTTTGAAAACCACCACACTTTCTTTACAGATCAGACAAACTGCACGGTCCTTCCACTGAACAGAAAATAATCGGTCATCCACTGTTCTTTAAAAACTCAGCACTCTCTGTCAACTTTTGTACTTTAACACTGCCCATTTTGCTGTCTTTAACTGCACTACAGTACTCTGCACGTGCATTGACCATCATTGTTTGATCTCGAGCTTGTTAGGTGCCGAAAATTTGGCGGCAAATGTAAATACGTCATATAATTATTTAATACTTAATACTTCATTTAAATATACTTTCTTAATTGAAAAAATCAACAAAATACAGACATGTTATTATTTACCAAAAAAGTAATTTAAAAAAAAATAGGTCATGACAACTTTTGAAGATTGCCTCATAGGGCCAGTTCAAGTGGTGGGGGCCAGAGGGGCTGGGGAACTGGTCAAAGGCCCCATTCACACTAAGAATACATGTTTTTCAAGGTATAATATAATTTTGAGCAATATAAACACATGTTCTTTTTTCTTTTATTTTTAACTAGGAATGTAGCGCATTTTTTATTATTTTAATATCATACCATATCTTTAAACAGACCTCTTAATATCCTAACCTGACCAACTTCCTGGGGTTGGATGGGAAAAACTGGTCACCATAATCACATTTTTTCAGTTTCGTGTCCCCATAAGTCTTGGTAAACATGCACTCGGACACAAACACACAGACATGATGATGCCACTGACAGATACATACTCGATATTTCTCTCTCCCCTGTGATGTTGGGAGCACGAGCCAGCTGGGGCCTCTGCTCTACAGCTACAACCATAACGCATGAATAACCAAGGCTGTACTGCATTGACTATTCAGTACCTGACACTGGGCCTTATGGCTCGCATGTAAGGAGAAGTGTGTTAGGAGTGCATAGAAAAGACCACCATCCTGGAAACTCCAATATACTCCGAGGGTGTGTGAGGTTGACTTGACTTTGAAGTTTGAAGTTAGGCTCCATTTCCACTACATTATATCCATATTTCTTCTTCACTCTCCAAGTATTCATTTCATCTTACTTCTTAAGCTTGGAATCTGTTGCATTGTTTAATATTCACAGTGCAATTTAGTAGTAAAATTTTAAATCACTGAAAAGAAGACTGTTAATGTTGAATATAGTCAAGTTTTTCATATTAATAAGGTCATACTGTTTTTAGACATATTGTACTATGACATGTTTCAACTCATGGAAACTAATAAAGGTGCACTACGTAACATTTCAGTGGAAGATTTGTTTGTATCAACAGAACATATTGCTATGTTTAGTATAGCATTAAACTTACATATCTCTATGAAGACAAGGTCAAGTTAGCCAGATCTATGGAGCGATGAGCCTTCTCACAGGAATACATGTTAGTTAGTCTGAGCAATAAAAACACCTGTAATAACATAAATGCAAGATAGATATGTTTATTTTTAATACCAAACTGTGGAACATTTCACGCAAAGCAATAACCTCTCCATGGAGACAAGCAGGTGATGAATCCTTCACCAGAAAAGTTACGCAGTGCACCTTTAAAAATTGTAACTAACGTATCAAGGTAACTCGTGTCTGTAGAGATATCTTTTGTTGATGTGTCAAAACATTTTGTTCGGATCTCAAACCTAGAAAAACAGTCAGGGTCTGTGAGGCTTTTGTTGACCACAAATTGTCGATCTTTATCTTTGTCAGGACTCTGGGCAGAGAAACACACATTTTGT